CCATGAGTTACCATGAGTGGCTGGCAGCCAGCATGAGCAGCCGGCAGCAGCATGAGCTGCCATGAGCAGCCATCCAATGGCAGGCGAGTGACTGCCTCACCCAGGAAGAGCACAATGATAATACCAACATGGGCCAGTGAAGCGAAGTCCTCCACAACTATACTGAAGAACAAAAGGACAGCAACTTGTCTGTTCCCCTTTCCTGATTCCCCAATTAAAAAAAAAAAAAGTGATCTCCATGACTAGTCTAGTGCCCACCTGGCATTATGCAGCTATTCCCATATTATTGGACTATATTCTCTATGCTTTACTTTACATCCCAATGTGTATTTTGTAATGACCAATTTGTACTTCTTAATCCCTTCACCTTTTTCATCCTGCTCCCCAACCCCCCTCCCATTCAGCACTCTGATAAAATCTAGTGCCCATCTGACACCATACAGTTATTACAATGTTATTGGCTATATTCCTTATGCTACACCCTGCATCCCTGTGACTACTGTGTAACAACCAATTTGTACTTCTTAATCCCTTCCCCTTTTGCACCCATCCCCAACCACCCTCCCATCTGGCAACCATCAAAATGTTCTTTGTATCTATGAGTTTTTTTCTGTTTTATTTTGTTNTTTGTTCTTCAGTCTAGTTGTGGAGGACGTTGCTTCACTGGCCCAAGTTGGCACCATCATTGCGCTCTTCCCGGGTGAGGCAGATCAGTTGCCGGCTTCTGGATGGCCACTCACAGCGGCTGCTGGCTATACACGGTAGCTTATGGCAACCCACTACAGCAGGGGCTGCAGCCTACACTGTCGTCGGTGACTCTCAGCAGCCCAGCTCCAGGTTGAGCTGTTGTTCAGCATCTTAGCTGTAGAGAGCAGTGTCATTGGCCTCATATGTGGGATCCGAACCAGGGCCCTCTGGCGTCCCAAGCCAGCTCTTAACCAACGCGCCACTCTGCCGGCCCTGTGTTTAACTTTTTGAGGAACCATCATACCAGTTTCCACTGTGGCTGCACCATTTACAATCCCACCAACAGTGCACAGGGTTCCAATTTCTTCACATCCTCACCAACACTTGTTATTTGCCCTTTTTTTGACAATAGCCATCCTACTGGGTATGCTGTAGTATCTCATTGTGGTTTCGATTTGTGTTCTCTAATGATTAGTGATTTTGAGCATCTTTTCATGTGCTTATTGGTTATTTGTATGTAATCTTTGGAGAAATGTCTATTCTAATCCCTCTTTGCCCAGTTTTTTCTCCCAGCTTTATTGAAATATAATTGACATAATGTTGTGTAAATATAAGGTGTACATTGTGTTGATTTAATATTCTTATATATGTGAAATGATTACCACAGTCAGGTTAGTTAATCTTACATCACACCACATAATTACCTTTTTTTTTTTTGTGAGACCATTTGATATCAATTTTCTTTGCAACTTTCAAGTATTTAATACAATATTGTTAACTGTAGTCACCATGCTGTACGTTACATCCTCAGAACTTATTCATCTTGTTACTAGAAGCTTGTAACCTTTGACTGATAATCTCCCCAATTTCCGCAACCCCCAGCCCCTGGCAACCACTTTTCTACTCTTTGTTTCTATGAGTTCAGCTTTTTTAGATTCCACATATAAGTGATATCATACAGTATTTATCTTTCTCTGTCTGACTTATTTCACTTAACCTAACGCCCTCAAGGTTCATCCATGTTGTCACAAATGGCAGGATTTCCTTCTTTCTCGTGGCTAAATAATATTCCAGTGCGTGTGTGAGTGTGTGACTGTGTGTGTGTGTGTGTGTGTGTGTGTGTGTGTGTGTGTGTACATNAAAACCCATGCTAACTCTTCTGCAAAGCACACTTAGTAGCATTGTTTCAGGGCACTTTTAATTATTACCTTGCTTGAACTTTTACCATAGTTCAAGAACTTGCCAGACTCTTTTACCATAGTTGCATAAGTAAAAAGCTAAATATGTGTGAAAAATAATACTGATTATTTTTTAATAAGGACTACTTTTTCCATCTCACAGTAAGTTTGAAAGGTGTTTCAGGTAACAGCCCTTTTTTGCCTTTTAAATGTAAAGTAAAAATAGAACATAACTAAATTCAACTTATGTAAATTATTTCATCTAAGAGTTGACATTATACAGGTATCAAAGGGTAGGATTAGTATATTTTTAGAAGTTAACCATTTTATGTAGTTATTTTATATGATTTAACCCCTGATATATCCAAACCCATATAAAACCTACATTGCAGTGGAGTTTAATTACATTTATGGCTTTAAAGTAGGTAGTACAATTCTGGCTCTTTGTGGACTTAACATTTTTGCTGCGACATTCATCTATAGTCGAATGATATTTCCATTCCGTTGACTGTGGCATTGACTTTACCCCACAAGGTCAGTGTTCCAGAAAGGAAGTTTAGGGAAGCAGATGAACATTTTTCTATAGTTTTGTGTTTTTCAAGAATGAATAACAATGGGAAATTTTTGTACTTTAATCATTTACTTTAATAAAATGTAGCACCTTAACTATATTTAAAAATATAAATACTGTAACTTTCTGTGGAAATTTGACACATTTTGGAGAACTTGAAATCAACACAGCGAAAAGGTTAAAATTAAGTGAATGCTTTTTCTAGAAAAGGTTGTCTCGATACAATTCATCAACCTAAAAAGCCCTGAAATGTAAAAGTACACATCACTCTATATATTCTATTTAAAATGTTCTATTCTGAATCCTTTAAGGTGCTAAGCCTAAAACATATTTGTGTTAGAAATAAGCCTATTAGGAAATTGACACAACCAAATAATAAAATCTAAGAATTTTTGGTTTTGGATTTTAGGACTTATTTCATCTGTGATTATCTTGCTTTGTAGAACTAATTTAAACAGAACAGTGCTGCAGTGGGAATTCAACAGGCCTGAAAAAGCAGACTGTGGAGGACTTCTGTTCCTTTTGGGTTGTTTCCTTTATTTAAAAATCTTTTACATTTGATAAGACGGCCTTACTATTAATGTTTTCTATAACTTAGTCTTCCTGCATTAAAATGTACATGTAATTGAAGGCTACATTTTCACAGAAAGTAACTTTACAGTCCTCAAATTAGTTAATAAAGCAGGCAGTCAAGAACTTGGCTAGCACGTTAGTTCATTTGTAAAACTCATGAGTGTGGTGGGTCATATCCAAGGGCATTAGGAACAGGAAATCTGTTTTCTGATCAAGCTGATCCTTTGGTGCTCTCTAGTGTTCATTCATTCCTTTTTCTCCAAGTTATCCAATGTTGTTCCTTCTGAAACACCAGCTCTTACGATAATGAAGTAAGTGCTGCCAAGAGAAGAGATTGGTTCCTGTGCTGCTGGCTATACAGACAGAGATGTCACTCTGCTTTCTATTTTGTAATTTCTCTATTTTGTAATTCTGTTTATTCCTTCTCAAGTGATTTTCAGTAATTTAATCATGATTGAGTGTTGCTGTTTTGGTATAATACTGTAAATTTCTTAAAGGCAGGACTCCAGTCATTCAGTTGTTTGGCCCAGGGGGCCCTGACATATGTTGTTCATTTTTCAGCTAGATGGACTTAAGTGGAAACCTGGTATAGAATTTACATATAACCAGTCATGTTTTGGCTGTGTAAGGATATTTAGATTCTTCTCAGCAGCAATAAGATCATATATACATATATGCACACATACACACACAATATACACATATATTAGTTACATATTTATGTGTTTTACTGCTTACAACTCTTCTCAATCCTCTCACACTGTAATAACCATTTTATTATATTTTGAATAAAGTAGATGGTTGATTGCTTCTTCCATCACTGCATTTACCATTTAACTTTCCAAAGAATCCTAAAGTCTTTTTTTTTTTTTTTAATAATCCTAGGTTATTATATAGTTACCACATTTACTTACCCTGTTCTGGTGGATACCTTAGCGAACTTCATGTTGGTGACACTGGTGATAACTCCATGCTTTAAGGTAAGGAAGGAGAATTTCAATCTTGAAGGATAGGCACTTAGGGTTGGTGAGGGAACCACAGTTTCCACAATGGCCCTCATTTATTTGAAAGTTCACCACTAAAAAAATGGCTGCAATGACCACTGGGCCCAAAATTTTACACTGGAATTTTTTCATCCTTTTCATTTGGAAAGAAAAACAGTGATTATGAAATCTGGGAGGGTTCTGTAAGATCTAATACTAAAAAGACTTTACCAATCCAATATAGGATTTGGAGTTGTATATAACAAGAAATTTGTAATATTGTAGAATATGCCGTTTCTTTCTGAAATAGATACTATTTTTATTTTACTTACTAAAACACATATGGCACTAAAGGCTAGTTTCCATCCTTTGAACCCCCATTTTATTTCTATACTTTTGAATTAACGTTGCTTCTCTCTAAAAAAAGGTTTTTCAAAAACTCATTTATGGTCACAAAATTTGAGTAAAGTACTGATCTTAATTCTCAATATTTCTTACTAAATAGTTATGGTAGAATGAAGGGTAGTGGGAAAGGAACTCAACAGTTGATTTATTTTAAAAATTGGTAAAAGTAATACCTTCTTTCCCAGAGAATTAATCAAATTCTTAAATATTTAAAGACTGCACAAAGAATAAAGAGCCCTTGTATGAACTAAGATTCACTATAATAAATGTAAAAAGTAAGTCGAATGGGTCATTAACATACTTTGTTTGGTCACAGCTTTATGCCACCATCCATATTTTTGAATAAGAGAAAGTCCTAAGTACTATTATTGTAATAACCCCACAGCCATAGTAAAGTTGTAAAGCTCCCTTTGAAGGAAACATTTTGATTAAATAGCTAAAAGAGAACCTAAAATTTTCTTCCATACATGAAACCTTAAGTGAATGAAAACTAAGAGGATAAACCTAAGTCCTATATTCTAAAGAAATAAATACAAATAACCTGTTATTGCTCTAGCATGCATTCACATTCAAATATGAAAAATACCACACAGAAAACAGAAACATTTTTAAAAAAAGATTTAAGATCATAAATAGGTCATTGTTGTCACAATACATTTCAGAATTGAAAACAAACATTTTGGCTTTTTAGGAAAAAGATTCCTTCCTTTAAAAAAAACCCATTAACCTCATCATTGAAAGGACTTGTACATTTTTATATTTCCAGTCTCCTAAGGCACAATATTTATTTAATCAGAATGCCAGTATCACCACCCCGATGTAGCAGGAATAAGAGGCAAGGTATTAGCACTAAGAAAAACAATAAATTTTATGGACAGAATCATCGGTCATTTAAGAAAAAGGACAAAGAAACAGACTAAGTGATGATCATTTTAGTCAAGAAGGCCCAGTGTTATGTAGGACTTCGTTAAAAATTTTTTTAATCAAAGTATTTTACCTCAAACAATTTTAATTCACCACAAAGGAGCTATGAGAGAAAAGGGGATTGGTAAAAATACAGGGTACTTTCTTTAAAAAGGACTTGGGAGGAAAATAATCAACGTAGAGAGTGTATATAGGGGCAAACATGGTATGGCACCCAGATTACAGGCCTTGCTTATCCCTAGTCTTCCGGCAGATCCATCCAGAAAATAGAAGACCAGGTAAACACAGTACCTAGGTGCATACTATAAGGCATCTTTTCCTTAATCACAAGGCCCATTCTAACCTACCACCCACTAAATGAGATGTAGTGAAATATTATAATCAGATACTTAACGTGTACTTTTTTATCTAACCAAAAAGTTCTTTAAAATACAACAAATGTAAAAATTCCTAATTTTTAACTCTGCCTTGCTCTGTCCTCTGTGATACCAATGGAACTTTAAGGTTTTATATGTACAGTGTGGTGATTTCGTGTTACTTTTCAAAGAACAAAACCCACAAAGTTAGTGCTTGTCCACAGATGAAAGTGGGATGAGGTTCATAACTGAATCAATCATGGAGTGTTAGTCAATTGTAAACTCTTGAAAGTTAAGATTGGGAAATGTGTGTATCAGACACATTCGAGAACAACAGGAGACGAGGAGAGGCCTGTTGGTCATTCCAATTCTGACAAGGTGCATGGTCTTCGAAATTCTTGTCCACGTTCATGGAGCCATTTATTGGATACTATGAGAAAACAAATACTAGTTAGATAGTGGGGAAAATTAATATAATTAGCTTATAAGAACTAGGTCTATAACAATGTTTCTACATGAGCTAAAAGTTCAAGACCAAAACTTGATAAAGGCAGATGCTCCTTAGGCAGTCTTTTAAAAACTTCACTAAGTATTGGAAACACGGAAGATTACACACACATTGGAAAGGCTATGTGCATTCTCTAAAGTTTTTGATGTTTAATGTCAGCCTTAAAATGAAACACAAATGGAATTAAAGTGTAGGTACAGATAGAACAGAATGTTGTTTTTACCTGTTTACAAAATACAACCTCTTAAAAATGGACACAAGGTCTTCACTCTGAAGAAGCAACTCTGATTAATCACTAGAACATGCTAATTAAGGTTCCTTGGTTCCAAGATACTGTTTTTTTTAATGTAACCCAAAAGGAATTTTCAATTCTTCTCCTATGTTACAGAACCCAATCAATGGCATCAACGTGTAAAAATATCTGAGCTAGGACCCATAATATCCTTAACTACTCATCTTACCTTCCTCAACTCCTGTTTCCAATCGTTTCCTCATCAAACCCTGTCATTTTCCTTTACATCTCTTGGCTCTATTCTTTGCTTTCCATCCCTTTTGCTGCTGCCTTGGTCCAGGTGCTCATCATCGTGCACTTAGACCACGGAAAACATCCTTCTAAACTGATCTCCTCTTCTCTAGCTTCTCTTCTTCTTGTCCAGTGGTTTTCAAACATTACAATCATCAGGGAAGGTTTTTAAAATCCTGATGATCAGGTATCACTCCTCAATCTTCCTATGTCAATACCACAGCCACTACGCACATGTGGCTACTAGGCACTTGAAATGGGGCTAGTGACACATATTGAAATGGATATCTGGGGTTAAATAATAGACATTAAAATAATTTCACCTGTTTCTATTTCTTTTCTTTTATGTGGCAAATTCTGCACTTGCATGTACCGACAGTTGAGCGCCTCTTTGCCTCACACTCATCCCCGACCTGGTCCCTAACATGCCTAGAAAACTGCTCTATCTTCAAAACCACATTTTAAAATTGAATTTTGAAGAAGCCGCCCCAAATGTAAGGAGTCGCCATCTTCTGTTTATATCTTTGTATTATTAGTAAGTACCACACTGTGATTTAGACATTAGTATGTCTCAATCAGAGACAATTGTGAACCCCCTGAAAGGAAGACAGTCTTATTCAAATTTGAGTCAATTAATGTTTCTTCGAATAACCAGTGGAAATTCTGATCTGTTGAAAGCAAATTTATATTAAGATCAGAAACTTGCTTGGTTGAAAACCATTCATGTTAAATTCATAGCAAATTAGTCATGAGCTTAGCTTTCAGTTTCTTTTAAGATGTAGATTATACTAATTTCTAAATATGAGACAAAAATCACAAATTCTATTCAAAGACTATAGGAAATATTTACCCCATTTGTTTCCAACTAGCACTGGACAGGCTGCATGTCGTGTACTATAATCACCTTCTCCACTGGCAAACAGATTATACCAGAAAACAGCAGTTCCCTGTGGAGAACACAAAATTATTATCCCCAAGTAAAATATCAGGTTATCACTCTATACAGTAATTAAATTTTCCTCTGTTCCTGTGGATGTACTCCTCTATGGGAGTGTTATTTCTTCCTGTAATATAATTCTGAAAATATAATTCTATCATTTACAAAATTTTGGTGATCACTTACAAAATTTTGGTGATCACATGAAAACGTTAACACCACAGAGTTGCTTGACGAAGACAGTATTTGCCAAAACAAAGCTAACAAATCATATAATAGCAAGAGGGAGGGCAAACATCATATGGAACCCATTTTAGAAATGAAAACTTTTATTGCTTAAAAATTTTTTATTTCAGTATAGTTGGTATACAGTATTATATTGGTTATATTAATTTCCGATGTACAATATTTTTATACCTTACAATGTAATCCCTGGTTGTTCATTACCTCTAGGTACTCATGGTAAACTGTGCCATAAAAATATCCAAAGTTTTACCTCGAGATAATATAGTCCTTACTATCTTGAAAAATGTAATTTATTGGGCTGGCCGAGTGGCACGTTGGTTAAGAGCGGTCTTGGGACGCCAAAGGGCCCCGGTTCAGATCCCACATATGAGGCCAGTGACACTGCCCTCTACAGCTAAGATGCTGAACAACAGCTCATCCTGGAGCTGGGCTGCCATGAGTCACCGGCGACGGTGTAGGCTGCAACGTCCTCCACAACTAGACTGAAGAACAAAAGGACAGCAACTTGTCTGTTCCCCTTCCCCCGATTCCCCAGCGCTGTTCCCATCCCCCCAATTCAATAAAAATCTTTTTTTAAAAAAAGTAATTTATTAATTAGACCATGAAATAATAACATCTCTTCCTTAGGGAAAAAAATACAGACCCCTAAAATTAGAGTAACAAACCAAGTTTACCTTTTTGGGCCAAACACTAGCTCCTACTTCAGGAAAAACAGTGGCTCCTCCTGCTGACACATCACTCATCTATAAGAGATGAGAGAGTATTATCAAAACTGCTGGTAGAATAAAGTTAAACATGCCAGTGTGAGGACACTGTGATACTGAATACTAGATTATGAGAACATCTGGGCTTCTACTTATAGTGCATGCTACTCAATTCTTACATAACAAAACAAAATGCTGTTTTTGCTTACATACTTAATATATATTTATAGCAAAGGAATGATAAAGTCAGGAGGGGAGATGGGAATATAATTTGGGATAGGCACTTCGTTTATAGCTAGAGGTAAAAAAGATGATTTAAAACTAATAAATCAAGTAACATAGGGGTATAAATACGTATTTTATTGCACTAGAATATAATCTCCATGTGGCAGGAATTTTCATGTTTTGTTCCCTGCTGAGCTTTAGTGTCTAGAACAGTTTATCTCAAGAATATTGGGTGCTCAATAAATGAATTTAAACAAAATAGGAATAAAACTCTAAGAGAAAATAACAATAAACTAAAATCAGTTTTATCATTTTTCATGGTACAGAATCAATACACATTAACTGAAAAGTAGAAGGAAGATAAAAGGATTATATAAAGTTATAGTCTTAAAGGCAACCTACAATAAAAACACAAACCTTCCACATTAACTGAAGAAGCATGTGTATAAAACCAGGCAAAGGAAACAGATCATATAGTGAAGATTTTTTTCAAAAGCAACACAAATAGAATATCTAGACAGACTACGATTGTATCAAAAAGCAAAACGCAACTATACTCATATACTATATCCAAGTCACAGCTAAAACATGTGACTTATATACACTGAAAACAGAAAGGTAAGATTTGCCAGGCAGATGATGTACCAAAGAAAACAGAGTTTGGTCTTAATATCAGACAAGGTAAATCAAGGTAAAAAGCATTAAGTGAGATAAAGAAGGGTATTTTACCACGAAAAATACATAATCAATAACAAAGAGCTAGCAAATCTTAAGCAATAAAAAAACTAACTTTGGAGAAATTAACAAGTTGTGCTATGTGGCCCACCTTAAATAATGGGAAAAAAATGAATGCTAATCTAATCAAAGTGCTATGCAATTAGAGGGGGACATAATAATCAAATAATCTAATATTTATGGATATTGGACCAAATAATATAGCATAAATATTCATAAAAGCAAAGAAATATGAGAAGAAACAAAGACAGCCAAAACAAATGTTTAACATCTCTTAAACATTTCAAAATTTACTCAACCTCTCTCATCAGGGAAATGCAAATTAAAAAGCACAGTAACTGCCAAGCTGATAAAGATGTCCAGATCAAAAAGTTTGACAAACATATCACACTTAAAGGTGGGATATAAATTGGTATAATCTATGGAGAGTTCATCTCTAGAAAGTATACAAGACTTCACAGCATAAATTTTGTATAATATTTCCACTTCTCTCCTGGTTTCCCCATTCTGATAACATGTTCATTTTAAGTTTATCTTATACATCTTAAGTCTCTTTTTAATCCTAAATCATCTTTTTAATGGTATCTTAGATCTTTTTAGAAACAAGATGGAGTTGTGAGAGGGATGGAAATAGCGAAGAAGGGGGAGACAGACAGGTTGGATATGGGGAAGGAGGGACAGAGAAATGGAGAAAATAGGGTAAAAGACAAACAGGGAAGGTTGCCGGGAGTGAGGAAGAAAGGAAATAGACTGAGTAGAGAGAGACATTTTTGTAGAGAGTGAGATACAACAGATAGCAAAGAGAAATGCCATTTCATACTTGTATAACTCAAATGGGAGTGAGGGTAGAAACAGCAATGACATAAGCAAAATTAAGTCTAGATATAAAATATCTTTTTAGGTTAACAAAGGTTACAACATTGCAGGAGATTATATTTTCCAATTACAATATATCCCAATATGCCCTGTCCTCCATGCTCTTTTTACATGACATTGACATTCTTCCTGAGTGGTAGAGTCTATGTCCCCTCCCCTTGAACCTTGGCAGACCTTTGTAATTGCCTCAATTAATAAAATACAGCAGAAGCAACACTATTTGACTTCTGAAGCTGGGTAATAAAAGCGACACACACTTCCATCTTGGTTTTGGAGGGATGCTTGCTCTTACACTCCAGTCACCATGTGAGAAGCGCAAGCCACATGGAGGTGTTCTGGCCACAGCCAGCCTCCGTCAGCCTGTAAGATGACCCCGTGCAGTCACCTGACTGCAAATGCATGCGATCCAGGGCAAGAAAAATGAGGAAAGCCCAGTCAACCTCACACCGTGAGAATAAAAATAAAATTATTTTAAACCATTCAGTTTTGGGGTGATTTGTTATACAGCAATAGTTAAGTAGGGCAAATATTATGATAATCAAGGCTAACTTTTTTTCTATACGTATGTACACATAATTGAAAAAATAAAGATCACATTGTTTTGAAACTTAATAAATAATGTGAGAATGGTTGCCCTCGAGGGTGCTTCTAGGGTACTGATTATACCAGACGTGCTTACTTTGTGAAAATTTATTGTTATATACTTAATGATTATACACTTTTCTGATGTGATATATATTAATAAAAATTCAAAAGTATTAATGTGTGTATATAAATTCATATAAACATACAGAGATGCTTACATACACATATTATACCGTGTTTTCCCGAAAATAAGGCCGGGTCTTATATTAATTTCTGCTTCAACAATCTACATTTATTCACTTATTCATGTACAAAAATCTACATTTATTCAAACAGTCATGTCTGGCTGACGATCTTAACTGGGGCTTATATTACGAGCATCCTGAAAAATCATGCTAGGGCTTATTTCCCAGTCAGGTCTTATTTTTGGGGAAACATGGTAGATGACCAAACAGTCCATACCCCAAAATATCAATAATTATCATCTCTAAGTAGTGAGACTATCACTATAACTTTCTTTTTCAGGTTGTAATTTTAAAACCTGAAAAAGTTGCAACTGAGAAAAAATAAAAATTCTAAGTTGTAAAAAATTTAAACTAGGATGTTAAATAAGAGCACACATCTGAACACATCAAAATAACTGAGTCATGTGATCAAATCCCAACTTAAAATAAAAATTTGAGGTATAACTTACATAAAACAGCCATGTAGCAATTCTATTTCCTGTCCCCAGCTCTTTGAAAGCATCTGGCTCATCTTTCTGTGAATAAAATACAACTAAATTAGTGGTATAAAATTCAGTAATGCAAATTCTCCAGTGGAGACTCAACATCAGCAATATGCTGAAGAATATACCAAAAACTCCTTCATAAAGCCCAGTGCACTATATGCAATAGGCATGCAAATACTTGCTGGTTGCTGATTCAGCCTGTATGCTGAATACTTCTGATAAGACCAATGAAAGAAAAAATAACCCAGATTTATTAGCTGAAATAATGAGAAATAGCAACTATCCAGAGATTATTTAAAAAAAAAAATTAACACCTATAGTTTTAGCTTCCAAAAAACAAGACATGAGAACCTCTTGTTTACATTCATGAAGTCTATTCTCTGTGGGTGAAAAATTTACCTTGAGGTTTACTTTGAACTTATGATCCATTCAGATGTTTACTGCTACTGACTGTCTTTCTTTTGGACAGTAAACACTTTAATCTGGCCAGAGAATTTATATCTGGCTATTTAAATCTAAATTATAGTCTCTTGGCATTTATGCCAGAAAAATTAAAATGTATTTTTCACACAAATTTATATACATATACATCTTTATTTGTAATAACCCCAACCTGGAAGTTTCCACCCTAATGTCCATCAGAGGATGAATAACTAAAAAACTGATACATTTATACCATGGAATACTACTCTGCAATAAAAAGGTACACACTATTGATACTTTCTACAAGACTCGGATGAAACTCAAGGGAATTATGCTGAGTGAAAAGAGACATTTTCAAAAGGATACATACTGTATGTAACATCTATATAACATCTGTGAAATAACAATTCTAGTGAAGAACAGATTAGTGGTTACCAGCAGTGAGGGATGGGAGGCAGAAGGGTGACTGCAGCCTAAGAGCAGTACTGCAAGGGAGGCTTGATTGTAGTGGTAGTTACACAAAGCTACACAATATAATAAAACTCTATACACACACACACAAGAAATATGAATAAGCTTGTGGCTTGTGCCAACACCATTTCCTGGTTCTGATATTGTACAATAGTTATGCAAGATGGGTTGGCTGCATGCATGGGAACTCCCTGTCCATTTCTTTGCAACTTCTTCAGTATCATAATTATTTCAAAATAAAAAGCTAAGAAAAAATTAGCTATACTAATGTCAGGGTTTGAACTGTATGTAGCCTTTTACATCACCCAAGACTCTGACATTTTTCAATAATTGAAAACAAAAGTAAGAAAGACTAATAATATATTCTTTGCTGTGCTACATGGAAAAAAGGATTCTGAAATTAAGCCGGTCAAGGGCCATAACACAATATACAAACTGTATTTTCTTTCAAAAGAATATACCCTTATTTAAAAATGGTAACAGTTTATTAAAATACTTGGCACCTTCTTTAGAATGCATATAATTATGATAAATCTTTAAGATTTGGTAATGCCATACTTTATAGTTCAATATGTTATAGTAAAAAAAAAAAAAAGGTCCAAAATTTATTAATCTTAAGGAAAATTACTTGGGCCATGACACCTTTTTAGCAAACTGCTTTGGTATTTATTCTCCAGTCTCTTTACATCTATTTTATCTTCCTGTCCCTCAAAAATGTGTTCTTGTAAATTCTTCAGACTTGTCAGCCAATTCACTAATTCACCTCAGCTGTCTGTTTTAACTTATCCACTAAATTTTAAATTGCAACAATTACTTTTTCTACCTAGAGCTTCTATTTGCTTATTTTTCAAATATGTTAAATCATTTTGAGATGATTCATTTTTATCCTAGCTTTCGTTTAAATATTACATTGTCATTTTATATTCTATATCTGATCATTTAAGTGTCTAACATCCTAGAAGTGTCTAAACCTGTTGGTTGCTTCAGTCTCACCAATGGTGTCTTATTACCAGTTCATTTTTTTTTTTTT